CATGGGAGATCTTCCCATCTTCTCATATCTTCTTCGAATTATTTCTTCAGTGACTTGAAATTTTTTTCAAACAGGTCTTTCACTTCTTTGGTTAGAGGCACACCAAGGTACTTTATGTTATTAGTGGCTATTGTAAGAGTGTTGTTTCCCTAATTTCTTTCTTGGACGATTTGCCTTTCATATACAGGAGGGCTACTGAATTTTTCGAGTTAATATTATATCCAGCCACTTTGCTAAAGGTGTTTTTCAGCTGAAGGAGTTCTCTGGTAGAATTTTTGGGCTCACCTGTGTATACTATCATATAATCTACAAATAAGTATACTTTGACTTCTTCCTTTCCGATTTGTATTCCCTTGATAAGCTTTAGTTGTCTTATTGTGCTATCTAGGACTTCAAGTACTATGTGGAAGAGAAATGGAGAGAGTAGAAAGCCTTGCCTTGTTCCTTGAACAGTAGGAATGCTTTAAGTTTCTCCATTGAGTTTGATGTTGGCTGTAAGCTTGCTGTATAATATCAAGTTTTCAAGCATATACAGACTCCATTTTTAAAACGTTTGCATTCACAGGTATTGCTGTATATTGTCTTTACTATGTTTACTTATGTGCCTTTTACCCCTATTCTCGCCAAGTCTGTAAACATGAATGGGTGTTGGATTTTGTCAATTGCTTTTTCAGCATCTAAGGAGATGATCATGTGGTTTTTCTCCTTCAGTTTCTATGTAGGGTGGATTATGTTAATGGATTTCTCTGTATTGAACCACCCCTACCCGCCTGGTATGAAGCCTTCTTGGTCATGGTGGGTGATATCTTTTATGTGTTCTTGTATTTGCTTTGCCAGTATTTTATTGAGTTTTTTTGCATTAATGTTCATAAGAGAGATAGGTCTGAAGTTGTCTTTTTTTATTTGGTCTTTGTGTTTTTTAGGTATCAAGGTGACTGTGGTCTCACAGAATGAGTTTGGTAATTTTACTTCTGTTTCTATTTTGTGGAATGGTTTAAAAACACTGTAGTTAATGTTTCCCAAAGTTCTGGTAGAATTTTGTGCTGAAATCATCTGGCCCTGGACTCTTTTTGGGAGGGGAGTCTTTTGATGACTGCTTCTATTTCCTTGGAGGATATAGGACTATTTAATCTATTTACCTGATCTTGATTTAATTTTGGTAAGTGGAATCTATCAAGAAAATTGTCCATTTCATTTAGATTTGCAAACTTTGTGGCATATAAGCTTTTGTAGTAAAACTTAATGATTGTTTGGACTTCCTCAGTGTCTGTTGTTATGTCCCCCTTTTCATTTCTGATTTTGCTGATTTGGATAATTTTTCTCTCTCTCTTTTAATTAATTTGCCCAAGGGTTTGTCTATAAGAACCAGCTCTTGATCTCCTTGATTCTTTGAATTGTTTTCTTTGTTTCTAATTTGTTGAGTTCAGCTCTGATTTTGACTATTTCCAATTGTCTTCTCCTCCTGGCTGTGACTGCTTCTTTTTTCCTACGGCTTTTAGGTGTGCCATTAAGTTATTTGTATGAGATGTCCGAAACTTCTTTCTGGAGGCACATAGTGCTATGAATTTTCCTCTTACACTGTTTTTATTGTGTCGCATAAGTTTCGATATGTTGTGCCTTTATTTTCATTGAAATTTAGGAAGTTTCTAATTTCTTTTGAATTTCTTCTTTGTAATTTCTACCCAGCTGTCATTGAGTATGGAGCTGTTTAGTTTTCTTGTGTGTGTAGGCTTTAGTTTGATTATTTCCGTCTATTTCTTTTTGGTGTGTCTGCTTCTTCTTTTTCTAAGGTTTTTAAATGAGCTTGAATGAGCTGTCTCGAATTTTTTCTTGAAGGCACTTAGTGCTATGAACTTTCCTCTTAGCACTGCTTTCATTGTGTCCCACAAGTTTGGGTATGTTGTGTCTTCATTTTCATTGAGTTCTAGGAAGACTTTAATTTTTTTCTTTATTTCTTTCCTGATGCAGCTGTCATTTAATAACAAGTTGTTCAGTTTCCATGTTTGTGTAGGCTTTTTGCTATTTCTTTTGTTACTGAGGTCCAGCTTTATTCCATGGTGATCAGACAGGATACAAGAGATTATTTCAATCTTCTTGTACCGGTTGAGGCTCACTTTCTGACCAACTATATGGTCTATTTTGAAGAAGGTTCCATGAGGTGCTGAGAAGAAGGTAATCATGAGGTCCTTAAAAGAATTTATACTCTTTTGAGTTTGTATGAAAAGTTCTGTAGACATGTATTAGGTCCATTTGGTTACCCTCTGTAAGTGTCATTGTTTCCCTATTTAGCTTCTGTCTAGATGATCTGTCCCTTGGTGAGATTGGAGTGTTGAGGTCTCCCACTATTAAGATGTTGGGATGGATGTGTGATTTAAGCTTTAATAATGTTTCATTTACAAATGCAGGTGCTCTTGTATTGGGGGCATAGATGTTCGGGATTGTGATGTCCTCCTGGTGGAGTTTTCCTTTGATGAGAATGATGTGTCCCTCCTCATCTTTTTTGATTAATTTTAATTAAGTCTAATTTATTATATATTAGGATGACTACTCCTGCTTGGTTTCTGGTTCCATTTCCTTGAAAAACCATTTTCCAGCCCTTTACTCTGAGGTAGTATTTTTCTTTTTTCAGAGGTTTTTTTGCTCGAATTCAGCAGATTTTTGTATCCTGTTTCTGCAACCACATCTGTTAGTCTGTGTCTTTTTATTGGAGAGTTGAGTCTGTTGATGTTGATAGATAATAGTGACGAAAAGTGTTAGTTCCTTTTGTTGTGGAGATATTGTTTCTGTGCTTGTTTTCCTTGTCTTTTTGTTGTGAAGTTATCTATATCCTGTGTTTTCTTGGGTATAGTTGATTTCGTTAGAGTTTTCCTTGTAGAATCTTCTGTAGGTGTAGTTGCTGTGTGGATATTGTTTAAGTTTAGTTTTGTCATGGAATATTGTGTTTTCTCCATCTATGTTGATTGAAAGCTTTGCTGGGTATAGTAGTCTTGGTTGGCATCTGTGGTCTCTTAGAGTCTGCAGGACATCTGCCCAGGCCCTTCTGGCTTTCATGGTTTCTGTTGAGAAGCCTGGTATGATTCTGATAGGTCTAACTTAATATGTTACTTGGCCTTTTACCCTTGTTACTTTAAATATTTTTTCTTTGTTTTGTAGATTTAGTGTTTTGACTCTTTTGTGATGTGAGGAGTTTCTTTTTTGGTCTAATCTATTTGGTGTACTGTAGGCCTCTTATATGTTTGTGGACATCTCTTTCTTTAAGTTGGGAAAATTTTCTTCTATGATTTTCTTGAAAACATTTTCTGGACCCTGGAGCTTGGAATCTTCTTTTTCATCTATTCTTATTATTCTTAGTTTTCGTCTTTTCATGGCATCCTTGATTACTTGAATGTATTGTGTTTGGAACTTTTCCAATTTTATTTTTTCTTTGAGAAATGCATCAGTTTTTGCAATTGTATCTTCAGCACCTGAGATTCTGTCTTCCATCTCTTGTATTCTGTTGGCGATGCTTAACTTTGTGGTTCCTGATCTTTTCTCTAAGTTCTCCAGCTGCAGGATTTTCTCTATTTGTGTTTTCTGTATTGATGCCCATGTTCCTGTGCAATATTATCTTCCATTACTCTTCTGCCTTATTCATTGACTTAGGGTGTCTCGGTCGAAGTCAGAGACTTACATATAGTGTACATAGCTCTCTCCCTGCTGAAGTTGGAATTACAGGCTTCCCACAAGACGTGTTCTGTGTTTATACAAGTTCTGGGGTTCCTTACTCCAATCCTCACGCTTCTACAACATATGATTTAATTACTGATGTATCTCACCAGCCCTTTTAATTGAATTCTGAGACATGAATCCAGGTTTTGGAGCAGAGAGGGCACACAGGAGGGGCATGCTGAAAACAGAGGGGAGGAAATCCCCCAGAGAACTGTGAATGGCAAGCAGCCCAAAGAGAACACACTGCCCTTCTCTGTCAGGCCATGAAATGCCCAGGGCTCAGAGTGACAGGCCCCAAGCTGGAGATGTTAAGGGGACCTGGAGGTGAGGAAAGGGCCTGGACTTTGCACAGCATGACACTGAGGGAAGGAGGGGGAAATAGGGGCTGGGGCGGAGCTTTGGATTGTGACGCGAGTCCCACGTGACCAGCCCACGCAGGCTCACACTCCTCTCTGGGGTCTCTGGACCTGCCCTTGCTTGCTCACACCCTCCAGGCCACCATCCGTGGAAGAAGCACCTGTTCCTGGTGGCGCAGCTCCTGGTGCTGCAGAGCACGCAGACCCGACTGCACGGAAAGCAAGAAGTACAGTGGTGTTGCCGGTGAGGGAGCCAGAGTCCCGGACCCTCAGAACCCTTTGCTGGGGTCCCGTGGGGCCTTCACAGCGAAGGCCAAGGCTACAGGTGGCTGTCCCCATGTTGCAGCAGCACAGTTGCCAGATGGGCGATGGCCCAGGCAGAGACCCTCGGGGACTAGGAGCTTGTGCCCCGCGACAGCTTTCCATAGGCCCTAACTTCAGTGCACCTGGGATGCCCAAGGGTGATCCGTGGGGAAGTGGGGGAGTGCGGCTTGGGGCGGGGTTAGGTGGTGCGTTCCAGTCCCCAGGAAGAGCCTGTCCGGGGTCGGGTGCCCAGGGCAGCTGCACGGGTCCTCCCACTCACACTTCTGCGTTGTCCACAGGTCTGAGGAGCTTTGCTTCGCATGGTACCAGGTGGTGAGCATCACTATGAGGAGGAGAAGACAAGGATAAGCCCAGGTGGGTGCAGGATCAGTGCTGGGAAAGGGAATGTGTGAAAAGCTCCTGTGTCCGACATCCCAGAGCCCTCTACTCTTATCCTCTTCTCCCATTCCTGGCTTCTAATTTTTTGTACCTGTAAGACCCTTGGAGGTAGGGTCAAAAGGGAAATGATAGGTGTTGGTGTGCGAGGGTTCCTGCCAGGCTTGTGCCTCTGCTCTGTGTGTTGATTAGTCCATGAAGAAAGCAATCCTATCTATTTCTCGTTTCCCAGGAGTAATGGCGTTCCAAGAGCAACAAGTCATGAAGGCTCTCACTCTGGAGAATAACAGAAAAGAAAACAAAGGAGGGAAGTTCTCCAAGCAAAGTGAAGAAGAATCCCACCACTTGGAAGAGGTTAAAAACAAGAAACCTGGGGGAGATGTCAGAAAGGGTCAAGTCAGGCGAACTGTGCCTAATTTTCAATGTGCCATACCTAACAGACATGGTGATTATAATGAAAGGAAAGGGGATGTTGGGAAATTCGTAGGGCAGGTGATAGAAACCAAGAGAAAGAGTAGGGTGCAAGAGAGAAGGCCTCACATGTGTTTCCGTACCCTGGAACCTGACAATACGAATTTTGCCTCATACCTTAAAATAAAAGGTTTTCTCTCAGTTTATATCCACTGAGGAATTTTCTTCTGCAAACTTTTGGTATTTCCACTTAACGGTTTCTACATATTTCCACTTAACAATTTCTATGGAACGTTGTTTAAGTGTTGCATTTAATTCTAAACATTCCTATCAGCATGATAATTTAAACCATGTTAGAAAAAATCTTTTTCATAATTTGAAATTAATAAAGTAATTTAAAAAGCATCTGCTTCATCAGTCATCTTCTTCTACCCCAGTCCTTATATTTCCTTTACAGAGGCTTTCCTCTTCCAGCTACTTGGACTATTGTCACTGGCAATTGTTTTTTGTTTGTTTGTGTTTTTCATTTTTCATATCCCCAGTTAATCAGTAAGGAACAGTCAAATTTTGATCAATGGTGTCTAGTGGAATTTTGTTGTTTTGTTTTTTAGTTTCTTGACACTGTTTTTTTTTTTTTTTTTTCTTGGCTCTCCTGGACTTGTTTTGTAGACCAGGCTGGCCTCAAACTGACAGATTCTGCCTGCCTCAGCTTCCTGTGTGCTGTCCCACTGCCCCACATGTCTACTGTTTATCAAAGAGCATGAGCCTCTTCCCTGTCTTCTACCCTTCAGGTGTATATCCTGCTTTCCCTTCAGAATGAGAATTAAGCATCTTCCCTAGGGTCCTCCTTTTTGTTGAGCATCTTTAGGTCTGTAGAGAGGGGTTGTGGAGGAAGAGGAAAGGAGGGTAGGATCCAGAGGAGATGAGGGAGGGGTCTACAACTGGAAAACAAGGTGAATAAATTGCAAATAATAATAAAAATAAAAGAATATGAGCCTAGTGTCTTTACGAAAACAAAGGTATTTTCAATATAAGACATTTGGCCCCTGTCTACAGCTATGTAGACTTCCAAAACCTCATTCCAGAGCATGTGTCTGTGTGTAAGTAAATATGTATACATCATAGATTAAGCACAGACAAAAGCAGGATGGCCTTACATTCTAGTAATAGTAGGCGTTATGACAAACTGGAGGGTAGTCACTGCAAGCTGAGGGAAACCTCTGTCTTGAGTGACCTATAGTTCTACATATCCAAGATGTCATTTTTTGTTTGTTTGTTTCTTTGAGACAGGTTTTCTGTGTGTAGCCTTGGCTGTCCTGGACTAACTTTGTAGACCAGACTGGCCTTGAATTCACAGTGGTCCACCTTCCTCTGCCTCCCAGAGTGCTGGGGATACAGGAGTACACCACCACACCTGGCTAAGATCTCATTTTTTGTCCTCACTACAGCCTATACAGTCTCATCTCTTTATATGTGAGAGTCACGGAGTTGAGAGAGGGTCACTCTCAGGACTGCCCTTGTGCCGTCTATCTTACAATTTGGATTTAGATGGAGACATTTTTGTATGGCAGCCTGTCTTTGAGATGCAGAATATTTCATCTATAATTGACACAAGCTGAGGAAGTTCAAAGAAACAAAACAAAAGTGAAGCTACACCTCTCTGCTTGTATCTCCAACAGACACTTTAATAGACAGTGCGACATAAAATATGTTACAATACTAATACTAAAAGGGGGCTTTCATTGTGAGGGGAAGGGTTAGAGAGAGAGAAGACAAAGAAGGAAGGAGTGTAACATTTTAAAAGTTTTTAATAAAATTTAAACAGAGACTTTGATCCAGTATTCTTCAAAGTAAGAATTACCCTCCATTATGTCTCATGGAAAAACTTTGTGCGTCATAAAAAGGTGTTAAAGTCAGTCCAGGTATTAGAGGTTTTAGCTAGTGATAGAACTTTCCTGTCTGGAATGTGCAAGGCCATGAGTTTAACATCCAACATCAAAAACTGAAGTCAAACTCCCATTGGTGTTAAAAACTGCTTGGGACAATAAATCAAGCAATGCAAATAAAAAATGGGGTACACAGCTAAACAGAGAATTTTCTGTAGAGGAATATAGAATGGCAGAGAAACACTTAAAGAGATGCTCAAGGTCCTTATCCATTATAGAGATGCAAATCAAAAAGACACTGAGATTTCACCTTATACCCATCAGAATGGCTAAGATCAAAAACTCAAGTGACAACATATGCTGGAGAGGATGTGGAGAAAGGGGAGCCCTCCTCCATTGCTGGTGGGAGTGTAAACTTGTACAAGCACTTTGGAAATCAATCTGGCACTTCCTCAGACAATTAGGAATAGTGCTTCCTCAAGATCCAGCTCTACCACTCCTAGGCATATATCCAAAAGATGCTCAAGTACACACACAAAACAAGGACATTTGCTCAACCATGTTTGTAGCAGCTTTATTCCTAATAGCCAGAACCTGGAAACAACCCAGATGTCCCTCAACGGAGGAATTGATACAGAAATTGTGGTACTTTTACACAATGGAATATTACTCAGCAATTAAAAACAAGGAAATAATGAAATTTGCAGGCAAATGGTGGGATCTAGAAAAGATCATTCTGAGTGAGTTATCCCAGGAGCAGAAAGACACACATCGTATATACTCACGTATATAGACCTATAAGATAGGATAAACATACTAAAATCTGTACACCCAAAGAAGATAAACAAGAAAGAGGACCTGGGGTAAGATGATCAATCTTCACTTAGAAAGACAAATGGGATGGACAGTGGAAGTAGGAGAAAACAAGTAACAGGACAGGAGCCTACCACAGAGGGCCTCTGAAAGACTATACTTGGCAGTGTATCAAAGCAGATGATGAGATTCATAACCAAACCTTCAGCAGAGTGCAGTGAATCATATGAAAGAAGGGGGAGTTAGTATGACCTTGAGAGGGCAGGAGCTCCACAAGGACCAAATATATCAGGATACAAGGGTCTTTTATGTAACTGTTTCTCCAACCAAGGGCCATGTATGGCTATAACTTAGAACCCCTGCTCAGATATAGCCTATGGTAGCTCAGTATACAAGTGGGTTCTCTTAGTAAGGGGAACAGGGACTATTTCTGACATGACCTTTTTTCTCTTTGACTTTCCCCTCTCCCCCGAGGGAGGAGCAGCCTTGCTAGGCCACGGAGAACATTGCAGCCAGTCCTGAAGACACCTGATAGCTAGGGTCAGATGGAAGGGGAGGAGGACCTCCACTATCTGTGGACTTGGAAAGGAGCAAGGAGAAGATGAGGGAGGAAGGGTGGGTTTGGGAGGGGATGAGGGAGATGGCTATGGCTGGGATACAAAATAAATAACCTGTCATTAATATAAGAAAATAAAAATTATTAAAAAAAAAACTGCTTGGGAAAAAGTTTATCTGCAGAAACGGCACACTTAAAATGTATTTCTTTAAAGTTTGTAATATTATATATCTGAGCTTTTTGCTTGCAAGTATGTCTATATGTTCCTGGTGCTTGTGAAAGTTAAGTTATTGGATCTCCTGGAACTGAAGTTTCTTTTTTGTTGCTGTTGTTGGTTTGTTTTGGTTTGGTTTGAGTTTTTTTTTTTTTCTGACACAGTGTTTCTCTGTGTAGCATTGGCTGTCCTGGACTTGATCTGTAGACCAGGCTGGCCTTGAACTCAAGAATATCCAACTGCCTCTGCCTCCCTGAGTGCTGGAATTAAAGGTGTGAACCACCACACTCAGCTGTGGAACTGAATTTTCAATTGGTGTGAGCCTCATTTGGGTGCTGGAAATTGAACCCAGTTTTTCTGCAAAAGCTTCAAGTGTTCTTAGCATGCACATAAGACATGTTGGCCTCACTCCCCAACACTTAAAAAATTCTAATTAGGGTACAGAAAAACATTATTAGTGTATGTTTATTTTACAAATAATGGGTTTCATACATGTGTGTCAAACATACTTATCTCTCATCTCTTCCCATTTCATGCTGTTCCTTTATTAGTCCCAATTAATCATGCTTTTTTTCCTATTTGGGGGACAGAGAAGAGAGTGAAACACAGACTAGAACCTAGGATCTTGTAATGCTAACAAGTGCTTCACTGCTGAGCTAGATCTCCAGACATTTTGCTATTTTTAATTTGAGACAGGTTATCACTAAAGTGCTCAGGGTGGCATTGAATTCACTCTGTAGGCCAAGTAAGACTTGAACTTACTATCCTCCTACCTCAGCCTCAGAAGTACCAGGTGATACGGGACTCTGCTGCCAAGCCCAACAACTTTTTTTTAAGCTCCTTATATGTTCTAGGTATTAATGTCCTGTTAGATGAATAGCTGGCAAATATGTTCTCCTTGGTGTTTCTCTTGCCTCTATTGTTTCCTTTACAGAACAGAAGCTAATTTGATGCCGTTCCATTTGTATTACTTCTGGACGGTTAGGTGTCCCATTCAGAAAGCCTGTGCCTGGAATCTTCAAGAGGTTACTCTGTGCTTTTTTCTAGATGTTTCAGTTCAGGTCTTTCAGGGATGTTTAATCAGTTCAAACTTTGATTTCACAAATAAGGAAACCAGACAGGAAAATGATTTACCTACAGCCAAACAGCCAGTTTGTTACAGAGCTGTGTTCCTAGCCTTCATCTTACCCATTCCCTGTTCAGGGGCCTTGACTTCTCACCCCAGGGGTTACACAGAGGACTGTTGGGTGTGAATGAATGATCATGCACACTTCTACACCATCAGTGTTGTTCATACTATTTAGTTATCAAAGTTAATAATTTCTGAATCAAAACATGCTTAAGATAAACCCCATCCCCAAATCATTTTCAGAACTGTAATCATCTTTTATCTGCCTAGAGGAAGGAGAGGATAGTCTCGCCAGAATCTGCATAGCAATAAACTTATGAGTAATTAACAAAGGGTAGCAGGTTGAGTGAAGTTCATGAATGTTCTTTTAGTATTTTTAAAATCCATTGCTTGAGCCTGTCTCACCAATCAGCAATCTGTGTCAGCCCCTCACCCCTTAACTCGTTGTTTTTTTAAAGCTGAGAATGTGGTAGAGATCAAAACATGAGTCCACCCAAGAAAGGAAAAGAGAAGCTCCCTTCACTGGGCAAGGGATGAGTGCAAAGATTCCAGAAGAAATAAGAATCCACGTTTATATTCAAAATATCATTTGTTCAAGTACAGAGAACGTTGTCCCTT